AAATGAAGGTGAAAGGTCTGACATGCTTAAGGAACATGCAGACTCCGAGCTTGCCTGTATAAAGAGCAGCCAGCAGGGAAGAAGCCAAGTGATCCGTATTGAGGCAAAGGGTCCTGCAGGCCTCAAATGGGTCAGATAGTCTAGACTAGAAACACTAGGCAGTACTGTAAGGCACTCCTACAGGGAAAAGAAACGAATGCAACGGCCAACATGAGAAGGAGCCACAGGGCCCAGTGGTCCACCAGCCGGTTTACCAGCCAAGAGGCCTGAATCTGGGCTCAGGACTGGGGCAAGGAAGATCAAGGGAAGGGGAGAGAGGCTGGGCTGCAGCTCAGTGGCCTAGGAGGGAATCTTGCTGTGCTAAGAGTTGCTGCAAGCGCCTGAATCTGCTACCTGGGTAACAACTGGCTTCACTCCAGACCCTTCTAACAAGATGGTGTCTCTTTCCACAGGGAGGAACCAAAGCAAAACAGCAGCTCTTTTTTTCACTTGAGGTTAACAGTGCCTTCCATCCCATTGGAGGCCACTGTAGGGGGAGAGAGCCCTATCGCGTGATCGCTTGGAGCCCATTTAAAATAAAAGCCCTGACAACTGTGGGTGTGCTTGGGAGGGTGTTGCACACTTTTCTTTTGACTTTAATCTAGAGTTTGACAATGACTTGGGGTGCCGGGACTTAACTGTCGAGACACTGTCCCACATGGTAGAAATCACATTTGTCCGCTCAGATGAACTGAGCAGGGCTTGTTCACCCGTCACTGGGTTCAAGTAGTCAAGTCGGGCAGTTAGTTCTACTAGGGTAGAACTGAGGGTTAGAAGAATGCTGCAGGGTACACAGCACTCGGAGCTGTGTTGTTAATGCCCAGTTGTTAACAAGAACCAGGGAAAGGAAAACGGAGAGTGTTTCCGATGACTCAATTCAGGCCAACGAGGGCATGTTCACTTCTTTCAGTTTTGCCCCCAATTCTCTGCTTTTTCACATTATCTTAGAGGAAGGATAGTAGTGAGGCAGAAAACTCAAGAAATAAGGGGGGAACCGCACGCATCTCTCTTTACTGGGAGAAGTAAAAAAAAAAAAAAAAAATCACCTTTGTGTTGACTCCAGGCAGTATTAGAATCAGGAGTTGAAGGTTTACTTCACAATCCAGTTATTTCAACACAGATCATTGAAGGTAAGGAAGTCCGCCCAAACAAGAACAGCAGCATTGGCTTAACCCTAAATTAGGAGCAGAGCATACCTCGGCTTCCTCAGATAATGCCTCTCTGCAGAAAATGTTACTAAACATTTGCAGCCTCTTGCAAGTCCTACCCTGATATAGTAATTTACGTATGGCCTTTTCTGGATGATGGGTAGAGAAGAAAGCCACCGGTTTGGAAGCCAAGCCTTTTCAAGAAGGTATGGGAAGGAACTATCCAGTGTCAATGTTCAGTGTGTACAGATGCAGAGACAAAAACAGAGGCCAGACCCCATGCGAGGGCACTCACTCCAGCTTAGCAAAGGCTCCCTACAGCAGCTAGAGCGGTGTGAACAGCTTGGCTCTCACCGCAGCCAGAAGGAAATCATGGCCCGGTCCCTCAGTGGGAGTCTGAAGGACACCACTGGGTTGGTTGGAAACCACAAATCCCAAGTCCTAGAGATATTCCCTTTTCAGTAGAGGCCTATTCTAGAAGAATCCAAAAGCGATTGCCTTCTCAGCTAATCAAGTATTAAAGCTCCTAAAAAGACTACCCTTTAGCACAACGAGCATGAAGATGACTATAAATCAGTCCCCTGAAAAGGTAATGAAGCAAAGGGGGAAGATGAGAGTTTACATGGTTTTCATATAAAGAGCATTCAACTTCGAGAAAGACCCGACCTGGAGAGAACATGACTCCCATCCCAGTTGACTGCTTTTTAAGTACTTTGTGGCCTTCCTGCCGCGGTGCAAACTGAGGTCTATTTTAGGAACTGGCCTCTTTACTGCAGGGTGAGATGCCAACATTTCACCAGGGTTGGACTGTCTCACACATGAGTTTCTGGCACTGTGTGGAGGGATTTCCTCAAGTGATACACCAGGGAATGGGCCTTTCAAGAGAAAAGAGGGTGCCCTGAGTCGGCTGCCAGCTCTAGGAGATTAATTGGCCATTTTCTCATGTGCTTTATGGGCAAGATATTTAATATGAGATGAAAAACGGACCATGAGGGAAAGCAGGTATTAGCCTGGTCTCGAGGAGGTGGTAATCCACAGATCTGCTTTTGTTTCAACAGTTTCTAAGCAGTGGAACAATTGCCTACAGTGCCCCAAGTAATTTGTTAGTGCTGAAAACAGTAAGGGCGTTCATGTGTGCTAAGGCATTCTGGGCTGAAAACGGCAATTTTGAATTTTCGTGGCAGACCCAACTCCTAAGGCGGCTCTGCTCTGTCCTATTAGATTTGGGTGGTGGTGGCTGAGCGTGTCACGTGGGCCTGCGGCCGGCACCGGCCAGGCTGTCAGGGCTGCACGAAGAGGAGAGAAAACAGAAGCAGCTGGGGTACGGTTCCCGTTCTGGGTAGCTGATGATGATAGCACATTCATGTTTTCCCCCCACCTTTTCAAAATAAGCAGAAAATGATGTGGGTGGAAAGTTCTCCTTATGAGTTTACAGGGACTGCCAATATTCAGCAGTGCCTCTAAATGGGCCTGGTGAAAGCAGAAGCCTTGAGAACAGATATCCAGAGTGTCAGCCGGACTTTCGGCGGGTCTGGCCCTGGATGCCTGTGAGATGGGACAGGAAATTCTCTACATACAGTGAATACGCTAGAAGGGGAGGAGACGGCCTTGCGCTTCAAGTCTCCCAAATGCAGTGTGCTGGGGACGGCCTCGCTGACAGTCGGAATCACAGATACATTAATTACGGCAATGGCAGAAGTAAGCTAGAGTGACAGGGAGCTGGGGGCGGAGGGAAAAAGGCACTGTGCCATCAGAGCACATCTGTTTTATAATAAGCAGGTCTATAATTCTCATGTGAAAGATCATGTTCTGCTATCTTCACTGAGGCTGGAAAATATAAATACTGTATTTCACAAAAGGGAGGAGGAAAGGGGAGATGATCAAATTTGTTTGCCTGTTTGCCAAGTGCTTGAGATTTTCCACCCTTTTTCTTTTGTGTGCGACAGTCTCTAGAAAGTGGAGTGGGGTGGGCGCTGGGGGGAGTCAACTTGTTTTTCTAAGAATAAAATGCATCGAAAGGTGTCTCATGAATAGCGCCCTGGCCTTTTAACAAGTTTTCATGCCTTGGTTATAGCTACTGTATAATCAGAAAATAAATGCATGCGTGGTGCTGAGCTATTACATTGAAATGTATGGCCTGAGGCCAAAGGAACTGGCATGGGTAGAGAGGTGAAATGCTCACACCCAGCAGTCTGCACAAAAGTGAGTCTGAAATGTCTCATCTCTAAACGGATGGAAGCATCATGAGTTGGGATCCGGAGGGAGCCGGGTGTGGTAGAAAGGAGCAGTGGGGTTAAATGTCCTATGGACTTTGTGAGCCACTGATTCTCCAGATCCTACTAGCAGTGAAACTACTAAACCATGAAGGCATTGAAGGCATCTGCTCAGTGGAAATATACAGGATCTTCGCATACAGCCTATTGAGAATTGTTTCAATACAAGCTTATTTTTCTGTTATGGAAAGAGTTAAGGTGGAAGGAATGGGAGCCACGATTTCCAGTGCCATCCTACCTGCCATTTGGGTCACAGCGACTGCTATGCTGGCTCTTAAAAGGGCACTGCAGAGGGAGAACATTCCCCCCGCCAAATGCCTAAGCGATTCATTCTATTTCTTATTCCTATATTATCCTAGTACTTTTCATTTCAGTTTATGGTGGCAATTGCATATGTGTATATATATTTATTTAAATCATATCAGATTTAATTCATTAATTGTATTTGTAAGTTTGGTATTTTCCTAATAGTCTAAAGTTGATATTTTAAAGTTCCAAGTTACTCTGATTTTTCAAGACAATTAAAAAATATGAAAGCAGAAGTGGCTACATTGACAAATTAAAAGTCAAAATGAGAGGGCAGTGAAGAACAATGAAAAATAAAGCACTCATAATGAATAGGTGGGAATCGCCTACATAGGATTCTGTGAAAAGAAATTGCAGACCATCTCTTGGAATGTCCGTACTCTACATCCGACCTCCTGGTCTATAAACTGATGTATTTAACAACAATCCTAGGCAATTTCCTCAGGCCAGCACCATTAAAAAATCATAACTGTCACTCATGAAACTCCTGGAAGACTGGTCTTAAGAGAGCCATGTTTCCAGCCTGGCAAATACCGTGGAGTGTCACATCACTGGGCGGGTGTCGGGATTCGTACCAGCAAACAGACCGACAACGTGTAGGTTACTGAGGTCTTTTCTCAAGCAAAACCCTTTCTGAGATTAACTTCAGAACCAGCACCAGCTCCTCTAATAAATTAGGGACACATGCTTTCTGTCAGAGGGAGCTCGCACTCCTGACTTCCAAGCCATTCAACTCTCTGCCTCTGCGAAGATACCGAGGTGAGAGCCAGGGACACAGGGTCCTGGAAGGACACAGGGTCCTGGAAGGATCCAGGAGTCATTGCTGTGTTTTGAAGATTTTCTTATGAAATATGGTGATGGGTGCTTGCCTCAGTTACCTCATCCTTTGTGAAGGCTGAAAATAAATAACACAAAAATAACTCGAAGCACTGTTGCTCTGCAGGAAATGCTTTCACCTGTGCCCTGTGTAATAAATGGCCCTTGAGAGCTGAAAAAAAAGTCTGAACTATAAAGCCTTGTGTGTAAAACACGTTTTGCTTGGGAGCAAGCAGCTGAAATTCATGGCTAAGTATAATTCGGCTATTGGTAATTTTTTGAGCCACAAAGCTCCATGGACCTTTAGGACAACGACTTATACAGAACATACGTACAGGACGTATAGGTATGTGTGTGTGTACATGTATAAATATATATCTACATCTAGCTGAGGGTGAGACGTACTCTTCTTCCAGAGGGGTGTAACTGGCTAGTTAGGAAGCCACTGGGGCTGATGGATGGTTGAGAGGTCACTGCCCGGCCTTGGGCTCCCGCTGAGTCAGGTGTTCTGGTAGGACAGCTCAAACACGTTGCAAGCCTCCTCCAGGCTCTCGTCCATGTTCAGCCTCCGCCAGAAAGACTTCTGCTTCATCTGCAGCTCTCGACGGACACACCTTGGGCAGGGGACAGACTTTTCTTTGCATTCAGAGTGGAAAACGGCTCCACAGCTTTCACACCTGCAAAAGCCAACCACGGAGATGATGAGCAAGGTTGAAGTGAGCAGGATGCCGGAAGTCCAGTGGCCTCTGTGCAGCCCGGGCCACAACCTTTTATTCCGGCTAGCCCTGCCCCTGGGAAGAGACATGACTCGTAGAAAAGGGCTCCTCCCTTTTCCAAAATGCTCAAGGTTGAATTTCACTGGAAAAACATACCTTTTTTTTTTTTTTTTTTTTTTTTTTTTTTTTTTTTTCTGATTAGAACTAGCTTGAGGGAGGCTTCTGGCTTCTGGGTGGAGGGGAGTCAGCAGTCAGCTGGCAGCTTTGTGACCATGGTGACGATGAACTGAGCTCTATAAGCTCCGTGTGTTAGCTCCACTGAGAAAGAGGTGGGGGTAGTGACTCTAGGGTGAAGTGACAGAAAATGAGTGAAGTGCCCTGCCGACTGAAAACACGCCCAGCACCGGTGACGGCCCCTGCGTTACATGTGTGAAAACGTGACTCTCCACTTCCGCTAACAAGAGCCAAGTGGTTCCCTGTGACTCCCTGCCTTTGACACTTTGGAAAGGTAAACTGACACATTTTCATTTTCTGAATGATATCCTGTGGTTCGTTGCTCTTCTGAGTTTTTTTTTAAAAATTAGGAAGCCCCTCAACCTTTTGAAATCTACTTGCATAACACAAGTAAAGCATGAGAGAGTGGGGAAGAGAATTTTAAGAAAAAAACAACACACAGATATTGTAATTTATAGAGAGGAGGCATTCCAGGTGGATGACTAGTTTGTTGTTTGGCTCGGTGGAAGCCTGTACAGGAGTCTAAATGGCTGTTTTTACTGCAAAGTCTTTAATAATGAGTAACTGACAAGCACAACTATAGCTGCTCCAGTGGGTGGCTTGCCAGTGTGGATTAAGCTCTCATCCTTCCACACGTGAGTGACAACCGACTACAACCTCATCCCCGGAGCCCAGGGAATTGGGCCCGCATGTTTTGTCCAACCAGCAATATCGATGGAGGGTCTAGCACTGGACCAGTTTCAAAGATAGCTGTCAAGGAACCAGTCCTCAGGGCTCAGCCTTATGCCTCTTGCCTGGGTGTAGGATGGTCTTTGGGGCACCATTCCCTGGCCTGCTACTTACTTACCACTCAGGACTCAGAAAGTTTGATCAAAGGAGGATCTTCCCATCCACCCTCGTAACCAGGAGAGAAGGTAGTGACTTAGAGGGAGAGGGGCTGTGTTTACCAGCTGAGAGATCAAAAGACAGAAGCTTCACTGCACCCAGCAGTCTCTACCCCCAGCTCAGATCTCTGGGCCAAAGATAGCATAATAACGGTTAGGAGAGCAGGCAGAGTGAGATGGCCTGATGTCAATCCCACCTTCAAATCACTTTCTGCCGGTAGGACTGCTATAGACTGAATTGTGTGCCCCCCAAATTCCTATGTTGAAGCCCTAACCTTCAGTGTCTCTGTATTTGGAGATGGGGTCCTCAGGAAGTAATTTAGATTAAATGAAACCATAAGGGTGAGCCCTGATCTGATAGGATTCATGTCCTTACAAGAAGAGACAACAGAGAGCTCTCTCTTTCTCTTCCCCTGCGTGTACTCAGAGGAAAGGCTGTGTAAGGACGGAGGCAGGAAGGTGGCCGTGTGCAAGCCAGGAAGAGAGCTCTCACCAGAAACCAAGCCCTGCTGAACCTTGATCTGGGGCTTCCAGCCTCCAGAACTGTGAGAAGTAAATATCTGTTGTTTAAACCACCCAGTCTGTGGTATTCTGTATGACAGCCTGAGCCAAGACAGTTACTTGAGCAAGTTACTTCACCTCCCTGAGCTTCAGTTTCCTTATCTGCTAAGTTGCATTTCCATTAACATGCGCCTGCCTCATCTGGTGTTACGGGGCTTTACACAGTTCCTGGCACCTGGTAAGTGCTTAATAATACAGCTAAGACGGCGCCTTCCAGTGTAAGCAGTTACCTGCTGCCTTTCTGCAAGTCTTCATTTTAGCCTGATTTCACTTATGTCACCATGGTGACCTGAGGACACCTTGATCAACCCCCTCATTTCAGAGAGAAGAAGACTGAAGTTCTAACAGGGCTAGTGGTTGTCTCAGGAGGACACAGTGAGTAGAAGACAGAGGTGTGACTAGAACCCAGGACTCCTGGCAGCCCAGCCAAGGCTCGTACTCAGCCCTGGTCATCTGAGTGAGAGCGGGTTACCATGAGGGAAACACAGGGGCTCAAGTTAGAACCCTGGTGTTCAAATCTCAAATCTTTGAGGGATCTTGGGCGTGGAATTTACGTTCTTGGTGCTCTGGTTTCCTCGTTTGGAAAATGCTGCCCACAATGACCTCCTTCCTACTCACTCAGTGGGGTCCTGAGACGAAAATGGGTGGATGTATGTGGAAGTTGCAAGGTCAAATGGCAAGTGCTCTGAGGAACAGGCAAGGGTGACACCACCTCTCATGGTGACACTGGTACCTGCCTTCCTGACTGGAGCTGCGCTGACTGGGGTCATCTCTATGATCTCTCTGCCCTCAGCCCCTCCCTCCTTCCCAGGGAGAGTAGGGCCGAGGCATGAAGGTCAGACTCAGGTGTCCTAGTGCCTCTCTTGTCTGGCTGGCTCTTCCCCAGTGTCAGTGGCTTTGTCCCCAGTGGGTCACACCTCTGTAACCTCCTACCACCGAAGTGATATGAATGGTAACTTTATCAAATAAATTTCCTCCTTTCTGCCCGCTTTGTCCTGCCGACTTAGTGACTTATACACCTAGGGATGTTGCCCTAGGGCAGTAATTGATAAGGAGAGAACCGCCGGGTTCCTTTAGTACCACTCCCTTATCTCTGCTGATTCCCCCTCCCACCCCCCGCTGTGAGTGAAGAGGTTGAGCCTTATCAGATATTTCTGGTGCAACAAACACCCATGGGGTGATGGAGGGACCAAGTACACCTGCTCTTTCTAACCAAAGGTCAGTAACAGAAAAAAAAGAAGTCTGAGATAAAAAATTAATGATTTCAAAACAGAGCCAAGTCCTATTTTTTCTAACAATTTGTAACCCAGCAGGCATCTTTTGATCTGTATAATGGACAGACTGATCAATGACTTTCCCAAATTCAGAGACCGTATTGTTAATTTCCCCCCGATTTTCTCTTTAAAGGAAAAGAACAAGGGCAGGAAAAGGAAGGAGGAAGAGAAACTGTTTCTCACATAAGAGTTATGTAGCTCTGTGATATAATGTGCAGGAAAAATATTTACATTAATTTTGTAAATACGCATGTTCCTCTTTGAGAATAGGACTTTATTAAAAAGAACCTTTCACTTTAAAAGGATTCACTGGCTCCTTAGTGTTTACTGAATTTCCTGACTGTATATAAAATTTAAAAAACATAACTTTTTAGGAATACAACTTTTTAAAATTTTATTTTATTTATTTATTATTTATTTATGGCTGCATTCGGTCTTCGTTGCTGCAAACGGGCTTTCTCTACTTGTGGCGAGCCGGGGCTACTCTTCATTGTGGTACATGGACTTCTCATTGTGGTGGCTTCTCTTGTGGCAGAGCATGGGCTCTAGGTGCGCAGGCTTCAGTAGTTATGTCACGTGGGCTTCAGTAGCTGTGGCTCGTGGGCTGTAGAGCGCAGGCTCAGTAGTTGTGGTGCACGGGCTTAGTTGCTCCGCGGCATGTGGGATCTTCCCGGACCAGGGCTCAAACCCGTGTCCCCTGCAATGGCAGGAGGATTCTTAACCACTGTGCCACTAGGGAAGCCCTAGGAATACATCTTTTATACAAGGCAAATCTACCAGTGTAATCATCTGTGCAGAAAATTGCCACAGACAGTGAAAGAGCAA